GACTTCTCAGGAGTCCTTTAAGAGGAAACTCGACATATTCTTATGGGCTCAAGACAGTATTTCGCTATGATTCACTAATATTACCTTTTTTGTCGTTAAATAAACTTAGGTTCCTACATGGAAGCATCAGTGATCCACTGCTACTAGAACCATTTGAACCATTTACGCCGAAGCTTCAAAGTATCTACTTCAGAATGACTGCTTCTTAGGCAATTTATTTTAGTTCTCCTACTGCCAAATGTATCGTGGTTAGTTTTAGTAATTTGTTCAACTCTACCTTTTTGTTTCTTCATGTTTACTAAAAGATTTTCTGTCACAAATTTCGAGCTAGGTTGGCTCTTCTTGCTAAGTGATGTATTGAAATTCCATGACAAAAATTTGAGTTATAAAATAAAAGTATTTCACATTCTGCTAAACATGATTGTAGGGTCCGGTTCGTAGAATATTCGATAAGACTACAATTTACTGACGACCTTTGAACAACGAAAAAGTGGCCTTGAGAAAACGCATCTACTTACTAGGGTTGAAACAGGGTTTTAGATTAGTACGAGGAATTAGGATTAAGACTGAAAGGTAGAAGTTAGGGTTTTTATCACATATTGACATCATCTATTATATCAAAATGCCAAAAGATGAATATTAACTTGTTTAATCGTCATTACAAAACGATAATATTAACAGGATTATCTAGCTTATTATTGCTGAGTTTAAAAATATTCCATTTCTGTCAAAGTATGGTATATGCATAAAAATATTTTAACCATGGATTATTGTACTCAGTGTTCTTGTTTGATGTTAAGTGGGACTTTATTTTGTATGTGCTGATGTCGAACAAGAATAGACAAAATGGGATACTAACTTGACCTTTAAGCATGCTTAGAGACTGGTTTAGCTGGTACGTTTTGCTGTATTTGTCATTATTCACTTAAACCTGAGTCTTACATGAAAGCACTTGACAGAGAATGATCACCACTAATTAGCTTTCGACTGACACTTTTTTTGATTACATTTTTTCATACATGTGGTATTTTATAAGAACTTCCGTTAAAATTTGATTGAATAGTTTCACGGTATTCAGACGCTGAGCTGATATGAGACACCAATGAGGAACAATATATGTGTAAAATCTCAGCGAATGAATTTGAAGTAAATCCTTGTTCATTTTCGGTAATTTTGATGTTTGATTATAATTTCTTGAAAACTCCTGGACCAGATTACCAGGCGAAACGTTTGATTAACTTCAAATTCATCCGCTGAGATTTTACAAATACATTCCTCCCCATTAATATGGTATTTTAGTTTCAAGTTTTCTATTTCTCATTGTGTTTTCTCATTCTTACGTGCCGTAAAAGATATTAAATCATAACTACTGAGTTAGATGAAAAAAACCTGTCAGCCAAAATCAAAGTTACAATCTTCAATACGAACGGCCAGACAGTTCTACTGTACGGAGCTGAAACTTGGAGAATTACCACAGCCATCACCAAGAAAGTACAAGTATCTATAAACAGTTGTCTATAGTAAATACTCAATGTCCGTTGAATGGGTACCATTAGAAACAGCCTACTGTGAGAGAGAACAAACCAGTTTCCATCTCAACAGGAAATTAGGAAAAGATTATGAAAGTGGATAGAAAATATATTAATGAAACCATTAGACTGAATTACGGGGCAATCTCTAACTTGAACCAAAGAACACAATCCTTCAAGAATTGAAGGCAGACATTAATATAGTGAATAGCGATTGGAAAGAACTGGAAAGGAGAGTCCAGGACGGAGTCCTATGGTTCTATGCTTCTCCACTACGGATAACAGGTGCAAGTAATAAGATGAAAAAAATACAATTTTTGTTTATTATTTCAGTCTAATTAAGCATAATCTTACGTCATTTGTTAGCGACATATTTGACTGCCCTTCCTTTCACAGGAGCTATAGCTCGTTTTTATTAAGAGAAATCGCTCCGTTCTTTTTAAATCCAAACTTACCTTACACTTCTCCTGCTCCATAATCAACCGGCACTTTAGCAGATGTCATTCTGAGGCTTATGATTTGCAATTCTCCACATTTTGAATATTCACTGGGACTTATGAAAAAGAAAACCAGGGAACCATAATCTTGAAAATCAGTATTTTATTGAGATATAGATTGTACCGTTCCTTTCAATGGACATTGCTATGCTGAGAAATTGATAAACAAGAAGACTGTGGTGATATATGTGTGTTAACTAGTGAAAACCGGTTCCATCAGTTTTAACGACTGCAAATCCCCACTGAAAAGGTTTGTTTGGGTGGTACATTGCTGCTTTGACTCACATGATAAAATGACTTGTTTACACTAACTATCTCACTAAGCAATATATACCTAAAGCTGTCGGGTGCTACAGTTCAAGTAACTTGTGAAACGTTAGTTTGTTTTCCAAATTTGTATACCATAATATAGACTTGAGTGCTGTGGAAGTTGCTTTTAAGTATTTCGATGAAATTCGTCTTTGGAGGAAGGAGTAGGTTATTAACGATTATATTTATCTAAACGTGCATACAAATATTATTCCTGATATGTCGATTATGGGTTTGACGATTAAATTGTTGCCTAACAATTTGAGAAGACAATATTCTTTGAACAACTATTTTAATGAGGACAGCGAGGCTTCATATCTTCTACAGTTTTTACTGATGGGAACATTTAGCCTAGTGTTGATCACGTTGATATTTGTTCTTTATCCGTTTGATCCATTTACAAATGTCAAACGACAAAAAGGGGCCAATCAGTTGGATTTAGTGCTGAGAATCCTATAATGGATCTTTTAGAGGTATGATTAAAATTATGTAAACAGATTACAGCATTATAAGTAAAGCTATTGCAACTCACTCATTTGGCCGGTTCAAAATTGAATGAAAGAAAATCTGGTTCAAGTTTTGATACTTTTTAACCGATATTACCCATAATATCGGTTGAGATATGACTAACAGAACATGGGTTTTACAATTTCCTTTAACTCGAAGGAAATTACGGTATTTGGTTCTTCAAATAGTCGGTAGAGAAATAAGTGTTAATAGTCTTCTGGATACTAGGAGCTCTTCTGATTTTTGAGGCGGTGAGTAAATATCTTAGCTATCTTTCTGATATACGATGTATTTTGTTTTGAGTATAATTTAGGTCTCAACTTTTTTGTGAAATTCCATGAAGGATTCATAAAGAATTATAAGAAGTTGTTTGAAACGAATCCATACAAATTTCGGCTAAAAATGTTAATTAGAAGAGTTCAACATCAACTAGGTCTATCATCAGCCTTGAGATAATTGTATTTTAATTACATTATCAGTGATATGATTTGAAATTGTTCACAATTATCTTACACTACTCATTAGTAACTTCCGAAGTGCGATAAAAACTTTTCATGTTTTTCAATGTTTATTTAACATTTTAAGGCTAAACCGCTTAATTAAAATGACTACCTTTACGATTACTAATGAAACATATTAAAATAAGTTGTATTAAGTAGTATGTGTGAGTTACTTTCATTACTCATATTCCTCAGAAAACCCCATGAGAGTTTTTTATACATATGGGTAAGAAGTTTAGGATATTCAAAAATCCATTTTCTTTTATGTATTATTAATTCCATATTCACATATAATTTGAACATTTCTAATAATTAGTATAGGGTTGTGGAGATTGTTGAGTTTAGATTGATATCAATAATGGGTCAATGTTAGACCACCATTGAAGACGTGGAAGCACTGGACGGCCGTTTCGTCCTAGTATTGGACTCCTCGGTAGTGCGCATGCACGATCCTGCACACACGACGATTGTTTAGTGCTTCCAGGTTTTCAATGGTGGTCAAACATTTTTAATAGTTAAGGATTATATTAAATGAAGTCGTATTTTTGTGTTTAATTTTCTTACTGATTCTAAATAACCATTCATTTCAAGACTACAGTTAGGGGATCTACTCCACTGTATTATCCATCATTATCTTGCGATGAGTAATGTTATTTAAGTATATAAATCGACATATTTTAGTTATAATTTTGAACTGTATATTTTTCTCTAAACATGACCACTTTTTGGATCAGTAATTTGGATATATAATTGTAGAATCTGAAGAGAATCTATTGAAAAGGATATTATTCGTCCATATATTAGTGTTTTAATATGATGGGGATTTTTAAACGATATTTCAGTTAACAGTATTGAGATGGTGGAGAAGATTTGTAGCTCAGGTGGATGATTTTGGTGGAGTTTTTTTCTCTGAGCTGGATGGTTTGGTCGTGGAGCTTTCATCGTTCTTCTGAACGACGTCATCAGAACAAACTTCAGATAGAAGTTTGTTGAAAGCTCCACGACCAAACCATCCAGCTCAGAGAACAAAACTCCACCAAAGTTAACAGTATTCCTCAACTTGCAAGTTCCTATTACCATTTATCAAAAAACCCCATCATAATTAATATAATTCACACTGACTGAACTGTCAGTAGTAACTGTTATTTGTCTAGCTTCAATGGTGACCAAGTTATTTGAATAAAGTATCCATTATTCTAAGTAACCTCATATTACATGTACATACATACTTCTTTTGTAAATATAGAGTAATGTACTAGGAATAAACAGCTGTTCAGTGCTTCTTCGTATCCAATGGTTGTCTAACTGTGACATGAAACTACATAAGATTTTATTATTCTAAAAGCTTAAACATAAACTATTATTGATTTTCATGCGTTCTGACCTCTCGATAAGTTTAGATAAAACAAGATTAGTGGAATAACATGAATTTACTATATTCGAAGGCATCTTATCAGCTGTAAACGGATGAAATCAATGATTTTTCGTCATATTTAAAGGTTTTGTAAATTCCTAAATAGTAGCATTATCAACACGTTCGTTAACTTTCTACTCTTATCAGCTGGTTATTCTTCAGTTTGCTTTTAAATGATTTGCTAATAAAAATCAAATCTACAGTTTTATTTTCGTACATTTTATTTCTTTTTTAAATCTTCCGTAGTTTGTCTTTCATTAAATGTTTTTGCATAGAATTTAAATTCACCCCTTCGAGATGAACATCAAAACGGCATAAAACAATGATCTACTCACAATTGATTGATCACTGGGTGGCGATCAATGTCATGCGTGTCTATTCCTTATTAGTGCAGATCGAATGCTATCGACCATGTTGCAATGTGGTCATTAGCTTAGGTGACTCGACATTGCGTGCTGTCGTACTGTTAAATCTATCGAAGCGTCTAATTCACAAAATTAAGATACGCGGGAAATCGGAGTTCACAAAACAACGATTTGTTTAAAAAACTATTCTTTATTGAGTAATATACATAAATCAGATACAAACTTCAACTTGTGAGGTATGTGTGGTTCCTTGTAACTGTAAAATAAAAAAGTCTCCCTGCAATAATAACATAAGGAATAATTATGATATATGATAATGTGACAGCTAATAGCTGTGTCTAATCTTGATAACATTTTATCAACAAGCAAAACTGGAATCAAGAGCAAACAATATGGAAACCGTTGCGTTGAAACAAGGATTAAACGACTATACAAAATTGAGAATAACTGCTAAAAGGATTCAAAGTGGCTATCATGATATATACAATAAATGTTATAAGCGTATGTAAATATTTTGGAATAATACACGATAAGCTCGCGTCACAACAGACGCGTAGAAATTGCTAGGAAAACAGCTGTTTACTGAATATAGTATAAAGCAATACACAAAAGAGTCGAAGGGAAGTGAATAAGAATAGAGAAAATAAAACAGACTTAATATCTACTTTCCTGTATAATGGTTTTACGTAACCAAAGATTAATTAATGTTTTAAAATACCATTCTACATTAACATAAAAGAAATAATTTCACTAATGCAAGTAAGCATTTTTACCTAGAAAAGTTGTTCGCAATTCAAAGTTAAATTTCACATGTTCATGTGAGCTACATTAAAAAATGTTAGTTGGGGAAATCTTCAAAAAGGAAGGCCATGAACGTTATGATATAAAATTCCATGTTTTTTCTTCCTTAGATCTCTGGGAGAATGAGCAAGCGATCATTTTAGTCTTAGAATTAATGTTTAGTTGGTAGATAGTTTGGATCATAGACTGCTAGTGAAAACTAGAGAAAACTGGTCAGCTGTTTTATCCTAGCAATGTACACCCATGACTCTTATATCTATTTTGTGGTCATTGATTTTGAATGGCTATCTAGCTAAAATCAATCAGTTTGTGATGTAAACGATCTCCGATCCTCTTATCTCAATTATTCAGAAAATTTGTGAATATGATACTGTAGCCGATATATTGTGCGAACAGTTTTGGTGGGCGGAGCGTTGAAATTATTCAAACTGCTGTGGTTATTTGGAACATTATGTTTACATATGGTATCTTTTACATACTTGGTTCCCGATTCCTGTCAAACTGAGAGTTCTAATTGTGATGAATGTTCATATATAAGCATAAGTTATTGTTATAAGGGAAGAATTACTGTATGATTTATGTAAGAATATGAATGTCCAAAGAACTATCTGAAATGATCTGAAGTTTTTTTATAGGACAATTAATCCCAAGATTTCAACTGTTAACCTAAGGACTTTAGTTGACCAAACCTTTGATTGCTGAATTGAGCCATGTTGACAAGTGTAAACTATTTGGTTGAGGTCCTTGTGATAACCTAACTGGTAGTTGGAGGCATTGAGTGATATGTCTCAGAATCGATTACAATGGCAAAGATGTATTCACTTTTTATCTTCTAGACCATGTGTTCTAAACTCCAAATGTACTTTTTATCCTAAGAGTGTATTTTTCTCTCGAATTATATTGTTTATGCCTCATTTTGTCCTACTATCACTGGTACTATTACTATTTGTATTTGTATCATTTGTCATGATAATTTTTTGTCGTTGTCCTAACATTGCATTTCAACGTGTATTATTTAGTAAATGTGCTACGTTTAATATTACTTATCAGTAACACCTGCATAAATGGCTTATTTCTGAATTCATGCTTCCGTTATTGAAAATAAAAATTATAATTTATAACAATTTTTTGAGAGATTTGAACTAGATTTTCGTTGCGACCCGTTCGATGATTAAAAAAAACACAAACTCAGCTTTTATTGGAAAATCATGACAAACTAAATTCATGACTCCTTCAAATTGAGGTCAAAAATCAGTTTGTTTTAACAATACGTATAGATTTCTGGCGGCCTGCTTAAATATCTGGGCTACCTATTCCTGCCATCCAAATATTTCAACAACCGATTCAGACGCGTTTTTGAAAAGTTCATGACTTTTCACTGTACAAGTCACAAAAGAGCCCAATCTGAGACATCGTGATTCCTAGCAATATGCATTGAAAAGAGTGAACATTATTCAGATATCGACTCCTGAACTTTTAACATTTGACTGGTGATCACTTAATATTTGTCGCAACGATCGATCAAGAAATAAGAAACGGAAACTTGTTGAAATACTTTATGCTGAGAATTCTATATTGTACCAAAAATATAATATTGAATAAAACAATTATTATTATTATCAATATATATCACCACAGTAGTACCGAATAGTTAAATATCTTTCAATGAATAAATCAACATGACAAACAAAATATGTATACAAGATGACTAGAAATTAACCAGATACAATTAAAGAGATACAAAGACAGATATTCCAATCACAGAAGATATTCTGAAATCTAAATAATCATATCTTCTTTTAATTAATCCTTATAACTAAAATGATACCTAATATAGTAAAAGAGCATTTGAAAAAAAAAAGAAATATTAACAGAATCTAAGTATAGATGAAAAAATGATGATAGTTTTAAAAAAATGTATCTCTAGTTGATGATCTAACCGTTATCCTTTTCATCATCATAATATTGATAAATCATAACAACCGCATAATCATGTTTATTTTTGATAGATGAATAGGGAAATATCATTTTATCATAAATATTGAAGTATGATATTCAATGGAAGTTATTGAACAGTACACTTTATATATATTCTAACTAAAATAATCTAGAACTACCTTTTTTTCTTTTCAACAACGACAAAAACAGTAAAAAGAAAAATCGGAGATAAATAAAATCGGTATGGTGATTGTGGCATTTGAACAATAATGACAGAAAATGAAAAAAACCCAAAATAAATGGAGAATCAACTCTACAATACATAAATAAATCAAAGAATATAATCAATTATTAAAAACATAGCTGCGATGACATTTTTATCTTGAATAAAAAGAAAGTCTACGGGATGTTTTTCTTCGGAAAAATAAACATCGAAACTAACGAATGACAACACTAGTTACAAAAAAAAAAACAGATAATGTGAGTGTATGTATGTGTGAGAGAGGGAGGACAGAGTGAGGGAATAGAACAGTAAAATGAAGTAGAACAAAATAAAAAACAATCAATAGTTTGTATAGGGAAAAAGACCAAATATTTATATAAACATATATCTGAATATATTTAGTTTGCTAAAAGAAAAGTAAACAGTAAAAATTATGATGGATCAAATGAATATTTTGCTATTTTTATTTGATTTATCTGAGAGAAAAAATATAGCGTTTCAAAATCCTAAGATAGCATTTAATGTACTAACACAAACCTTATGTATATGTATATAAAGAGAGAGAGAGTAAGTGTGTGTGGGAGAGATGGGAGAGTGAGAGGCATCAGGAAGATCTACCGTTTAGGAATGTAAACATACATGATATATATATAATTCGATGTAAAAGTAATTAAGTAGTTTATCTATATTTTCATAAGAAATGAGAAGTCACAAATAAAAATACAAATATAATCACATAGCAATATAAGTAAGAGAAATCAATTCACTGAAAGCATATTATTTTAATTCTAATGCAACAAGATTGGTTTCACATAATGCTTGATATAAATCATTTAATAAATTTTCATAATCACTTTTATCGAGCGCAGCAATAATAATCATTTGTTCCGGTTGTATATTGCTATTGTTAAAACTACCAGGAATAGATTGATGATGTGATGTTCTTGTCTCGGGAAATTTCCATAATTCTATTCCATAACGATACACTATGATATCATCAAAAAATGTAAAGTTTGTAGTCATTAGGAGTAAATATATATACATATTGGGCAAAATGTTGGTATGTAAGAAAAAAATGAGGATAGTACACATGGTTTTATGTAATACAATAATTTCTACTAATGATCTTAAATTGTTGAATAAGTAGACTTAGACAGAGAACTTATCTTTATAAGCAGAGACAGATAGTGGATAGCAGTGGGATCGAGGACGCGCGTTTCGTCCTATCTGGAGCTCGTCAGCCAGTTGTACCTGCATCCGAGAGTTGATGTTCACCCCTAGACTCAGACCCGGTACCGTTTGCTTCAAACATCATCGCGTTATCTCCTTAGATACTGAGTCTAGATAACCACTAGCTTGTGCAATGGGGTAGAGTTAAACTCATTTTTGCATTGTTTAATTGAATCTTCCCATTGATGTTTAAGACTGCGATTGACCACGAACGGTACTTGGCTCAAGTCCTGGAGTGAACACCAACTCTGAGATGCAGGTACATCTAGCTGATCAGTCCTAAATAGGACGAAACGGGCGTCTTGGATTCCGCTACTATCCACCAACCATCTCTGCTCATAATGATTGTGACTGAAGGCAATATCAAGGCAATCCACACAGGATGGAAATATGCCAATAAGAGACTGATTAATTGAAATCCTAAACATCAACGGGAAGATTAAAACAACCAATAGAAAAATGAATTAAACTTATTTTTAGATTAGTTTAGTGGATATATAGATAAAAAATCCCAAGGTTAGACTATAAATCATTTGTAAAATTTTAAACATTATATATATATATATATAAACTAATGTGTTTGTATCTTGTACATTAGTGAAGGAAACCAATTGTTTGGCTGGGGTATATAATTGGTAGAGATGAAACTTTCAGGATAATTTTACAGAGAATTGTTGTTCATAGTTTTTGGTGTCAATATTAAGTACTTAGCTTATGGTAATTTTATAATAGTTTTATTGTCAGATCTCATTTTATTTATTAATTGTTGTCGTACTCTTTACTTTATCTAAATTGCCGTTAATCAAATATGGACTTAGTGTACAGATTTTATATCAAATATAACTCATAATAAATATATTTTTGTTATATCCCAATATGTAGAAAGATTGTATTTCTGACATTTCGAGGTACTAATTAAATTTTTTCTTTTGGTTGAGATCATGAATTAATTGATGTTAGACCACCGTTGGAAACCTGGAAGCACTGGACGGCCGTTTCGTCCTAGTATGGGACTCCTCAGCAGTGCGCATCCACGATCCCGCAACCCGCGGGATTCGAACCCAGGACCTACTGGCTTTGCGGTCATTTATTTACTCTGAAGAAGTGAAGTACATTAGGTCACGAAGAGTCAAACATACAACTTTTCTACTCATTGGGATATAAAAAAATATATTTATTATTAACTATTTATTCGATGCTCAATTTACTTGAAATCAAATATAACTCAGTTCTGTACAAGTTGTAATTACTTATTTGTGGTTATATAATGGATATATATAAAACTGGATTTTTGAATAAGGAGGACAAACACAGTACAATAATATAAGGTTAAATCCACTTGCTATCTTTGTCTCCAGATTTGACATTGAAAGGATGAAAAAAAGCTCGTGGACTAACAGGGATTGAAATTCATGACAATTGTATATTGATCAAAATGAGGATTATTATTTTGACAGGTATGAAGCTCACTATTAATTAATGGACAATCATAAGGAAGCTAAAATTTTCAACACCAATTTTAGTATTTTACTTTGATCACGTCAATAAACTTCATTGAAATAATCAAATTTCTTGGAAAATTGTCTACAAACACCATTAAACATGTTTCATAAAATGAGAAATCCCACTCATTCAATCAGTGGTTTTTTCAATGCAAACAAAGGAAATTGAAACAAAATATCACTGTTAATTAGCAAATGAATATCTTGAGATGCCTTAAATTTTCATATTGTAGATTAAATACTTTTTGCTGACCACTTTTCTTTAAATCAACTGACATACATTACTGGTTAACTCAATGATTCTACAATTTTATCAATGAACTGTGTTCTAAAGAGACGAGTTTAATGAAGTTAGAACACTTGGAGCTATTATTCAGATTGGTATTTATATTTTTATTACATAGTAGATAACTGTTTTATTGTATTTCTATATTCTGCTTAATGTTAGCTCCCTTCGAACCTACTATTCCCTAATTATTGTCAAGTAATTATGCACTGTTTACTTTGTTTTCTGCCACTTATGGCATGATTATGTTTAAAGTATGATTTTCTATTTGTTGTGCTGTGCGGCCTGCTAAGTGGTGTATAAAACCTAATGGATGTTCGAGATAGTGGCTGGCTGATTGAGATGTTATAATGGAAACTCTGCTGCAAACGTTTCTTTGAATATGAGGTTGTGATAGAGAAAGGCTTGTGTATAGACGGAGTAATAGGGATGTAGCGTGTATTGGCTCAAGGTTGGCTTTGGAGGCCAGAATATGTAACTGGTCAAGTCTAGTATGCGAATTTACAGACGGAATAGTAGATGTGAAATGGAGAAAGCATAGGTATAGGGCTGTGAACTTTTATTGAGATCACGAATCGATTAGTGTAAGACCACCATTGAAAACCTGAGAGGCTAAGGGTTGGCGCGCGAGACTGGAGGTTTCTAGTTTGAACCTCACATATAGGACCATCGGTGCGTACTGCTGAAACGTCCCATACCATGACAAAACAGCCGTCTAGTGCTTCCAGGTCCTCAATGGTGGTCTAACATTGATCGATCCATGATCTCAAAGAAATATTATAATCGGAGTTTTGATTGATGGTTTCGGCACGTGCTATTGATTTGTTTCTGAAGGCATAACAAACTGTTTTATCATAACACTATTCGATTATGGGATAAAACTCAAGTAATACTGCAAAATTTCAAAAGATAAAGTTGAACTATTAACGCTTATGTATGAATTTTTTTACTTACCATCAGTTTTAAAAGGACGAATTTTACATCTATATAATGAAAAAACATATAAAGCAGTAAGACGTGTATAGGAATGTGAAGTAGAATTAGCTGCCTTTCGACTATAAAGTTCATTTTTTGATCTGCTTCTTCTTCCTCTTCCGCCTCCTACTCTATGAGGTACACAACCAACATTTGGTTGCATACAGTTAAGTGTATTAGATTCAGAATTCATTATTTTAAACTTTTTATCACAATCGGTATATAATAAATCTAATGGTGGACGAAGAGAACCATCACATTGATCTGGTGATAATTTCTTATCATTTATTTTTGATTGATTTTTCCTTGATTTGTCAAAAACTAATCTTCTACCAGAAGTACGTTTTGAAGAGGTATCTTTTGCAATAATAATTAGGTCATTAAAAACAAACAAATGTCGTAGAATACTGGTTTCTTTATGAGGAGGTTGATTTTGATTAATCTTCAAATGAGAAAAAAACAACAGAAACAATAAGAAAAACAAATGGTGGGTGTTAGCGATTATCGATTATTGTGTTACTTTAGTTATTGATCCATAGTGAAACATTTATTATATAACAAATTATATTTTTTTCCGTAATAGAGGGCTTATGGAGAATGTTGAATTTTGTGGATTACAATACAGATTAATTTTGGCTAGACAACCATCGAAAACTAGGTTGAGGTGAAGCGCTTACCACGAGGCATGCAAATTGTACTTTAATTCCTGGAGGGGTTGTGTATGCATCCTGTTGATGAGACGTATTAGGACGAAATGACTATCCAATGCTTCCTAGACTTCAACGGTTGTCTAGCTTCAGTAAGTCTGAGGTTTTATCTTCCGATGATTGTTTGGTTGAAATTTAAGAATTATTTTCATAATTAATTAATTTAATTATCCATTTCGACTATTCAAATCAAACAGATTTTCACAAAAGAAAAAATTAGATTTCATTTGGAAAATTACACAAAATTTAATTCGATTAGGTGTGAATGCTATCTCACACTTGAAAAGAGGTTTAGTGGAAATCAGGTATGTAGTCTGTGTAAGTAAAAGATTCCAAGCAGTGACATTACCACTGAAAAAGTAATGTAATTCAATGTTATATTTCTCGTGTCAATCGTTTTTGTTAATTTACACGACATTCTATGTGACTGTAGCTGTTATCTTGAAAACATAGACAAACTTCCGTGTCGTGGTAACTCAGGTGAGACATACTGTTTAAAAATCATATCTCTTGAGAGGAAGCCAGAATAGACATAAATCTAGACGTATTCATCTCCCGTTTTTTTTTTAAAAATAGACGACAACAGCGAAAAGGTCAAGCTTTATTGTTATTTTCATCTGCATCTTATTGTTTGGAACATTGCAATGGATTGTGAACATTTCACAAAACCACGCAAGCATATTTTTCAGTCCACATACATAATTAATTCAGTAAAACAAATCTAAGATCTAAAAAATCATTTCAGTATTTGCATACTTCTAAAGTAGATTAGGTTAAAAGGTTTAAAGAATCTCATAAATGGTATATTCTAATTAATTGTAGTTGATTTGACAATTCAATACAATCTTGGTTATTCCATGTAAGCATAATTTGTAGTTCATCAAATCCGTACAACTGTGAACCATTAAAATGTTAACATTTTTTGTAATCTACCAGAGTGACATCCTATGATTTGGCTATTCGAAGCAAATATATGAATTCTATTAACACTATTATATTCCATCTTATGATGAAGATGACGATAAATGAGTGATTATTTATCTATAATGTGAACTAAAAATTTATGTTAAGCTTAACTAACCAAAAATGGTAACACAAGGTAAAAACGAAACTTACATATCTTAAATCGATAGAAGAAAAGATGAATTAAATCATACAATAAAAATATTACCAATTGATTTGGAAGTAGCATAAGACTCTGAGAATTAATAATGCCGATAAGTATTCATGGTTGAAGTGAATTATACTGACAAGTACGAATAACTAAATAGCCAGTCAGAAAATAGTGTTTGGTTAAAAAGCAATTTATCATTCAATGAATAAAGTTTTGAAATGATTAATGAATATTTACATGTTGAATTATTCATTATAGAAAAGAAGAAAAAGGTTGAGGTAAGTAGTTGGAGTTAGAATGGGAGAATGCTTTTTATTTATAATGAAGGATAACCATGTAGATAGCTCTTGAAATTTGAATTCCAAGAACTTTTAAGCTGCATGCAAAAAGCCATAGATCATGTAAAAGTGTTATGGATATTTCAATTTTTCCTGTTTTCTATTATTTGACACTGAAGATACTGACAACTTTCTCGTTATCATGTGAGAAATCATTTTGATTCTTTAGTTTTTTGAAGTAATATTCATAACTCTTTTAGCAGGAATGGGTATCAACTAAGTTCATCAACAAACTTATGAATGAGATAAAAATAAGATCAAAGGTAACAACTGTTTCGAAGAAGTTACTGTCCTTGAAGTCACAGTTCCTAAATGACTCTACCGAGGAAATAATAACGGAGAGGTTAGAAAAAGCAATTCAGAAAACATTTAATGCAGCCAAGCCGAATACAGTCTTCCGATTATGAAAACCCCTAATAAAAATAAACTGAGTTCGGCACATTTATGTATGTCTGTCAATTCAGCTGCTCTTGTGGAGCCAGTTACTTGAGGTGTATCGTTCGCTAAGTCCGTCATCATATAGCAGAACACCATTCGTCTCATTCATGTGAAGAACAGGTAAGATGGATTATGAGTTCTGATGTCTTTCAATCGGCTGGTACCGAACATCATGCTGACTTGAATAAAGCTCTGGAAATTATTCACCATATTCCATCAGATTTAAAGTATGTTTTAGGTCATTATCTTCTGCATACTGCTGAAGCTATCAGAATAGATATTCCCAAGCCTAATAATTTCAATCAAAAGAATTTTAAACAACATCTCTATCTGTATTGGCAATAGATATGCCAGTGTGTTCAAGCTGGACACACACTAATTAACCGTATTCTTTCAAAAAGAAACAAATTCAAACAGTTTTCTAATTTTCATAGTTGAAATTTTTACAAATCCCCCCATATTAATTATTTCTTAATTCCTTTCATTGTTTAATTTCTATAATTTTTTCAATCTTTACAAGTAATTACTTTGATGGTGATAATCTTTTTTTTCTTGCAATTATCCAATTATTCATTTGATAGTATTTTTGTAAACACTGTGAAATTATATAATTCGATCTGTTATCCCACTATTCGATTAGTATTATTTTATTTTTCCGTACATAGGTTGTGAAGATTGTTAAGTTTTAGTCGAGATCTTGAACCGTTCAACGTTAGACAACTATTGTTAATCACATATATATATTGATATATATTCGTGTAGAACCTTAATGGATAACTAACTAAACGGAACATTTCTTCACACTATTTAACTTTTCATTAACCTATAAATGAAGATTTTCACTATAATGATTTTGCAAATGATTAAAAGTATGTAAATATGTATATACTTGTATTCATTCGTAGTAGATTAATTGAAAATATGAGAATAATGATAAAATCAAAACAAATGAATGGGAAAAATTAATGTGAGAAAATGGTTGATAACGTAATTAATCTTAATGAAAATTAATTCATTAATGAAAGTTCACGTAATATATTTACTGAATTGCATGAAAGATGAATAAATGCTAAGTAAACATTTTATTATATTTATGAAAAATTAATAATAATAATAATGGAAATAAAAAGAAAAAAAGAGAGAATATGTACATTTGTCAAACTAGTACAACCTATGGACGAAATCATTATTAAATTAATGGGTTTTCAGATTCGATCAAGTTAGAATAAACGAATGAATATACTTGCTTTGAATAAACTGTTTATGACATGAAAAAGCAATCTAATATTACATGCATACATAAAGATAATATTATGTTGTGATAGATATGCAAAACTTTCAACAGTATAAGACTTGACAAGATCTCTGATATAATTTAATTCAAAGTTTAAGGGAAAATTCTTTTTGCGCGAGTTTCGGAAACCTACTGGTTTTAATTTCAGTTCCAAGTTTAACTTTTGATATACCCCGGTGATTGATCATTTTCAAGTAAATGTATTGATTATGCCATCTATACAATTGAATTTAATTTGTTAAAAAAGATTGTCACTATCGTATACACAGTTCATTATTTAATAATTGGTTGTGATTTGCTTAAGCCAAGTAAAAGTATAATTTATTTTTCTTAAATTGTATCATTAAAAGTAGATACCAAATTGTGTTTGAAATGGGACATCTTTGTTCTTTTTTTAAAAAAACAACTAAAAATAAACAGCTTTTCATAAAAGTAATTCTGGCATTTCCTACAGGAAACTTGATATAAAGTCGTTAAAACTTTCTTAGTTCTTTTACTATTCCTAATCTGTCCTATAATCTGACGTTTTCATGACTTTCAGTTTGTCTAATCTGTCAACTCTGATGAAGCAATTCATGACGCTATTGTTGCATGTCAAGCTCAAAGAGAGTTTTATAGAACGTATACACACTCTGTCTTGTTATTGTTTCCGATATAGAAGATGAGTTTCTTCCAGTAAACAGATTTGGTATGTGTCTAAAGTGTACTGGTAATGATTTACGTACTGTATGTTTGTATGGATGACAAAATGTGTTATTCTTCACTATCGTACACACTGATTTATAATAAACTGTATAATAAATAAAAAGCCAAAAAAAATTATAACCTACATGAATCACCGTACAATAACAAACCAATCGACGATGTGGTTCCACTAATTCAAATGGATTATTCGTGAATAAGAATTCATTATCAATGTCATCGGTGTTTAAAATTTTAACTTCTTGCAAATTTCTTATTGCTTTAGATATATGTCGAACGATTGTTGTTTGATCTGAACCTGGTTCCAATGGTTTAACTTTAATACGATGAAATATTTCAGTTAATGTACGATTTGAGAATACATGTTTTATATCAAGAGATTTGTTATTATTAATATTATTTTCATTGTCCAGAATGGATTCAGTATTAGTATTACCACTTTTATCAACCATATCGTTTTGATTAACATTTGAAATCTTTGACTTTGATTTAGCCGTGAAAGAAGATAGTGAAGATGATGATGAAGATGGTTGATTTAATAAAAGATCTAGAGGAAGCAGAAAAAAGAGACAAAACAAGATCTTTGAGGGTAACAAGGAAAATCAAAGATATAAATAAATCGAGAATACAGTTTGTCGAACAACATAAATTCATTATATTTTAAGGCTTTTTATCAGATGTGAATGGCCCATAGTTACAACTAATTATGCCATAGTAAACTAAGTATTACATAATGTAATTAATGAAATTCAGTTGGTAACAACGGAAATAAGAAGAAATAACATATTTTACATAGTTAAAATTGGTTATTACTTTTGATATGTTGAAAATAAAATCATGCAAGGAGTTGGCAGAAGCTATAGATGATAATAAAGAAACAAGAAATAAAAACAAATGAGTGATAATCAAGGCATCTAGATGAAGTAAATTTAAAGTTAACGACGTGAGAGAATGTTAGTGGAATTATTTAAAGTTTATGTTGCATGTTTTTAAGTAATCTAAGTACATATGAAAAAAGTTATATTGATATGTAAAACTTTACAACTTCATACATAAAGAAATCTGGGGTTTGATCGATAGGTTCTTGAAGATCACAGGTACGTTATGCTGAAAAGGACCAACTTACAAGAAACTTAGGTAGGACAGCGATTTTCAATGGTTACCTTCAGTTAACTAAGATAAAATCTGTTTAATGTAGTGTAATAAATAACAACAGTTAATATATTGTATCTTAAATGCAGTGTAAAAAGAATAAATTCTATTGTAGGACTAGTGATCTGTCACTGAGCGCTAGACAAGTCATCCGTCAAGCTGAATCGTTCCTTCGTTAGACTAATAGATCACCGAAGCTTGAATAACTTGCCGAATATCTTTAAGGTCACAGATGACTAATGCAGATTAATCAATCGCATATCATAGACTAGTGAATGTGGTGATGGCTCTACTATATGATTCTTTAGTCTTCTCCTGTAATATATTCCTTTAATAAGGTTATGTTTGTTTTATTCAATCATCAGAGTAGTTACAGTAACTATTACAACGAAAGAGTAACTCAGGCTAGGTATTAACCTCGAAGTCTGACTTCAACATAAACCAGGAGGTCAAATCATTTCCATTCAATTCGAGTGCACCGACCATCAACTTACATTATCATTACGCAGATGAAACCAACGACTGACGTTATCTGAAACGTTTAGTGTTATATTCAAACGTTTTAGCTATTTGTAGTTTGCTTAATCAGTGACTGCTGTATACTGAAATGAACATTTCGCAAAAAATTTCACTTTAGGCGTCTTGAGTCATTCGTGACTGTGAGCTATCAATAAATGTGTAGACTTGATTAACGTGCTGGATGAAAAATATAAATATAATCAACTGTTGAGGTTTGAATTGAAATCTTGAATAAAAAATACTCTAATTTTCAGTCTTCATTCACTAAAAAGAGGAAAAAATGGATGAAATTCCTGGACACAACAAAGTTACTGGGTAATGAAAATGTTGCCACTGACCTCAGTCGAGCTAACTTACAAATGTCATTTCTCAGCAATACTGAGTTATATGTGCTGACCGGTGATATATTTATCAAATTTACATTTTAGGAAATTTAGATAAACTCTTTTCATGCATTGCTAAAATAATTAAGTAGTATTCATACTCTGTTTGAATAGAACGATATGACAATTCGATGCACATAATAAGTTTATCGCTATCATAGACGTTAAGTCGAAGACTAGACTAAAATAACATCGCTTATTACTTAGTAATCAAATTTGATTATACAGGAGGTCGGTCACTGTCTAAATAACTCAATGGTAACGTATCAAACAGTAAAAATGTGTAACGTTGTTTCAAATAAAACAGGAAGCATCAGTTACCTTACAGATGACAGATACCTCTACTTGACGAGTGGTAACTATTAAGAAATCTAGGCTCAAAGTTTCCTTTTGAACAAACCTCTGGAATACAATCAATAAAGTTAGTTAAATAAATAAATAAATAAATGATCCTGGTAACTCGTTCCATTTACAATCATGAATAATAGAATAAAAAAGAGAAGCCATATCTTCAAATAAATCTCAATATATCTTATTATGATAATTGCTTGTCCATTATTAAGTAAATACCGATTAGTTATTGATCTACAAAGAAATACATTAGCTGAATACAACTTAATCTATGGAAATAATAAAAAGAAAACATTAAGCTTGAACAATAAACTTAATTGCCAATACATTTTTCTACGTTTCTTGCTAAAATTAATTACTTCCCATATAAAAAAAGTGATGGTTATAAATTTTTCCATACAATAAACGTTAGAAAACGTTTTAGAAAGTCCATTATTCTTACAATAAATTTGTAGGTGATTTGTTTTGGATGCAAATAAAATAATAACCGATGACAAGCCAGTGGAATGAAATAAATTTCATTTCGTGTAGAAATACTGATATAATTCTGTTTTCTATATACATGTTTTCAAAGCAATCAACTTTTTTAGTTTTACACCACGGATTGACTCAATCATGTATCTGATGAAAACTAGAAAGTTTTCGACAGATGGGTCGTTCTGATATTGGACGTCTTAGAAATAGGTGTCTAAAACAATACTGGTATTTAAACGTAGGACCTCCAAGTCTCACACAGAGCGCTTGACTTTGAAACTAAAGAGTTAAAATAGCCCTTTCTTCTCAAAACATATTCTCGAAGTTGAGCATTTATCACTATAACGTCTACCACGATTCATCTGTTTAACTTCATCTCGTTGTGCTAACGTAGAATGACAAATTTAGCTGACGTAAATTTATGTCTGAGTACACTCAGAGGTTCGTCGGAGAGAATCTATCGTAAGAACACTTTCTTTTCGGTGAACTCATTTACTTAAGATGTAAGTTCGTATTGAGATTTGTTTGGTAAATATATGAGTCCAAAGGAGAATAGAAAGAGATTGCGTCATAAAGTGACCCGAGATGTGATATTATCAAAATAAGGTTGCGTAATGATCGAAAAGATGAAGAGTAGGGGAATGGAAAAAGTTTATGGGTTAGAAATGTGGGAGGTAACTATTCACCTAATAAATCAGAAGAAAAAAAGATTAACGTTAAGGTCATAAAAATCATTTGAATAAAAATCATAAAAGACTGTTAGAGGATACTAATAACTGACAGCTTTTCGCAAAGATACATAAATCTACAGATAAATTATACTTACCATATACATTTTTTATAAATTGACTGACAGTCTGTTTGCCTAAACTTGATTTTGCTGCATTTACATTATGAAGGCTGGTTTGTAGTAAGAGAATAGCATAAAATATTAATGATAACTGATCCAGAGTGATAGGAGGAGCTGGTAAAGACTTCAATTGATGGTCATTAGTACTGGAAAAAATATCTGATGAATTGACAGATGTTGAACACCATCGAACTGTATGATAGTATTCAGAGATACATTGCAATAATCTGTCTATTTCTTGAGATTCCACCTATACAGGATTGGTAAAAGAAGACAATTAATTATTTTGGATTCATATTTTTATTGGTGTTCTCTATGAGAAAACTTAAGTTATGCGAGGATCAAAACAAACAAGGACGTTACATAACAAGATCTGCAAATATTTTCTATTGTAATTGTAAGAATGGTTATGTTCCTTAAATAGTACAAAATACGACTAATTTAAAACTAAATACTTGACAAAAATGCGTTGAACAGTAAACGTTTTAATGATTGCGAATTAGGGTATTCAAATGTTAAAAACGTAACGAGCAGAATGTTCATGTAATAAGTCAACAATGGTGCTACATTGCATATTTAACTGTTTACTTCAAATGATAAATAGTTGCCAAAATTTGATTGTGATAAGTGATTAAACCAATGGGATATAACTGCTGACCAAAATAAAGTGTGTGAAATCTAGATAATATATCGGCTAATAAACTGGAAATGTACTTGACTAATCATGAAGTGTAATTTATATATATATATATATATATATATATATATATATATATATGGGGAGAGAGAGAGGTCACAAGTCAATAAGTACTTGAAGTTGAAAAAAAATTATGAAAACTCCAGATTTTTGACTAACAAATTATGATGCATTCAAACGTTAAATACATTTCCAACCAACTAATACTTCAGTTTCTTTAAAAACAATACAAGTGATATGTGACAAATAGTCATGATCAACAGTTATATATTTTCACAATTAAACCCACGAGTTGATATAAGCTAGACCACCATTGAAAGCCTGGATGCACTGGATGTCTGTTTCGCCTCAGTATGTGACTCCTCAGCAGTGCGCATCCACGGTCTCGGGAGAGAGACTTGAACCAAGGACCCTCATTCTCGCGCGTGAAAGCTTAGCCTCTAGATCACTGACACGGTATCCAACAAAGTTAATGCCTAACTTTAATCAGTTCATGATCTTGCGCAACCGATCATCCATTGTCTGAGGTGGGTAACTGTCTCACAGATGAAACAGATAGTACTCTACTGGTCCAGGCTTTTCGCTTGAACTCCAGCAGTTATATCTTGGAGCTAGTCATTAGTGAACACATGATTGTTATCAGTACGGGGGTTTGTGGGGATTGCAGTATTTTAAAAGTTTTATATTTATTAAAATATACGATTAAGATCCTTTTTAATATGAAGAATGAAAGGAAGCGTTTTTGCTTGACAGTAACTGTATACATAATTGGTCAACACAGTCATAACGTAATGACTTTCAATAGAGAAAATTCTTGAGAGTCAGTTACAGTTAGATAATTAACTTTACAATTGGTTTATTATTGTGTAGAGGATCAATATCAAGCATGTCTAATCCTTTAGTGGTAACGAAATCCTGTCAATGAAGCTATGTGATCACAATGTTTAGATGCTATGTAGTATCGCAAGGGTTTGGATCTTACTGAGAGCATGTGTTACCAAAAGATTCCAGGTAGGGCATATTGACAAGTGCCGACAATTATCTCCAAACACCTGACACAATTAAATACACTGTAGTTTCATACTTCTAATTTATAAATAAAAGAAATAAACCTATAAAAAAGCACCCAATAGATGAGATAAAGAGTTCAGTAAAACTTTTTTCCAATAAATTTCATACTGTTTTAATTAATTAATAATTAATTGTAGTTTTTGTGAATAATTAAACAAACCATGATACTCTGGAAATTATAAATGATCAAAAGAAAAACCAAAAATAAAGGAACATTAGAAAAAATAGATTAAAAGAAATGGTGATATGGATGAGAGTAAATATATTCAGTAACTATGATTCACTAGGATAATATAATTACAAGTTACTGTACATTATAGATAATAAAGATTAAAATTTTTTTCAGAAATATCATTTATTGTTCACAAACTTAATTGGATAACTATTAATACCAAGTCCCACAATTTCGATTGATTATCATGATGAAATTCGTACTTAGATTAATTTAATAACGCTAGTTACATTTTGATAATAATATATTTACATTAATAGTTTGTAGAGTTAGTGAGTAACAATTTACATGAAATAAATTTAAGTTGTTTTGTTAATGAAATTACTGTTCCTGGTTATCACAAAACTCTAATATCATATTTAAAAGCATAAATATCGCCGAAAACACGGATTTCGACGCACATATGAGTAGTATTGCGTAAATGTAATACCACATTGAACACGGTAAACATATTTACATTATATATATTACAAGCAATTAGAATCATTCATCCAAACAGATTACTACTGACATTATTCATTTATCTTTCGTGTGAATATAGGCCAGTAAATACTAGTGACGTTTGAATGTATATATTATTTGGTTGTAACTTTTCTGGTTATCGTTTTTTAGAAAAGCTTTATTCTATAGGATGTGGTAGCTAACCCCATGTCTAACGATTATTTTTTATCCAGGCATGCGGCCGGCCGTAGTCCTGGAAGGGCTCCAAGTGAAGTTGGTTGTAGCTATTAGTTTATGAATAATATAACAATAAAAATCATACTTTCTTAGTATATCAGTAAATTATAAATATAAATAAGTATGTAAATTATAAATAAGCACTAATGCGTGATTTGGGTTTACTTACGAATATTTCTACTTTCATTTTATCATTAGGCTGAATAATCCTCCAGCATATTTCCGATCGGTGTCTAGTGTCATTGAACTGATCATGGGTCATACGAAGACTTTCATTTCATAATGACAGTCAAAATACGTTTACTTTAAAATGATATGATCATTGATGGATTAGAATAACTAACTTACATGCTCTTCGACGTTATGCAAGCTAATTGCTTATACTAGATGTCGCTTATATGTCGTCTCGGTGCATCGCTAACAGACTCATAGGAGGATATCGAATTAAACAGGAATGAATTCAGTAAATAATAAATACAAGTTTTATGAGTTCAAGAACTAGGAAAAAACTTAGGAATAACAGAAACTTTTATCGTTGAATACAAGTTATTGAACCCAACATTTCTTCTTCTGTGGTATTAATGAGGCCTTCTCTCCTACTAGGCAAACCATACACAATACCTACATGACTTTAATTGATAGTAAATAATTTGCAGCTGAGCCGGATGAATGACGCAGTGGACACCCAACTTCAAGATCAATACGCCGGATTCCACAAGGACTAGTCATGCAAGACTAAATTGTGACACTAAGGATCATCGTCGAACAGTTAGCCGAATGGAACTCGTCACTATACATCAAATTAATTGACTACAAGAAGGTGTTTGACAGTGTAGACAGGAGAAAATTATGGAAAATTCTTCGACACTATGGAGTTCCTGAGAAGATTGACAACATTATCCGGAACTCATATGACAAACTACAGTGCAAAGTGGTGCATGGAGGACGGCTGACAGACTCATTCCAAGTAAGGACTGGAGTCAAACAAGGCTTCCCACTCTCCCCCTCCCTCTTTCTTCTGGTGATCGACTGGATTATGAAGACCTCGACATCTGAGGGAAAGCACGGAATACAATGAAGAGTTCAGAATCATTTAGATTTGAACTTCGCAGATGACCTGGCCTTTCTATCTCATACACACAAACAAATGCAGATGAATACAACTAATGTAGCAGGAGCCTCTGCATCAATAGGCCTCGACATACATAACTGAAAAGCAAGATCCTCAAATGCAACACAGATAACACCAACCCAATCACATTTGACGGAGAAACTCTGGGAGATATGGAATCTTTCACGTACCTGAGCATCATCATCGACGAACGTGGAGGATCCGATGCAGACGTAAAGGTGAGGATTGGTAAAGCAATGGCAACATTCCTACAGTTGAAAAACAATTGGAACTCAAAACAACTGTCAACCGATTTCAATGTTAAAATCTTCAATATGAACGTCAAGACAGTTCCGTTGTATGGAGCTGAAACTTCGCGAATTAACACCATCATCAAAAAGGTATAAATATTTAAAAACAATTGTCTACAGAAGATACTGAATTTCCGTTGGCCGGATACCATCAGCAACAGCCTACTGTGGGAGAGAACAAACCAACTTCCAGCTGAGGAGGAAATTAGGAAAAGACTTTAGAAGTGGGTAGGACACATATTGAGGAAGTCATCAAACTGTATCACGAAGTAAGCGCTAACTTGGAATCCTGAAGGGGAACGTAAAAGAGGGAGGCCAAAGAACACATTGCGCCGAGAATTAGAAGCAGACATGTAAAGAGTAAATATCAACTGGAAAAGATTGTCCAGGACAGAGTTGGATTGAGAATTCTGGTGGATAGTCTACGCTCCTCTATGAAGGGTAACAGGAGTAATTAAGTTCTAGAGTGAGTGTCGTTCTCAACTCCCGATAAAGGATGAGAATTGGGCATGGGGTTAGTAACTGCATCTCGTGGAAAAACTCTTGCTAAGAAAACGTTAGCCAGGAAGAAAGTCTAAAAGGTAGTGAGAAATATCAGTTTTAATTTTTCCTAATTTTTTGCCGACCCATTGCTCACCCTCACCTCAGTTATACATGAAAAACAATAAACAAAATGAATCAAATACAAACTATGTCCTCGGTTTTTTTTATTTCAACACTATTTACTGCTATCTGAATGAACTAGAATTTATTATTGCAATGAGTTGTGTGGATTGTTCAAATCCATTTGAATTATGAACCGATCTAAGTTTGACCACCATTAAAACTCCTCATCAGTGCGCAACCACGACCAAACAAACATTGACCAGTGGAACTAATCTATTTCAGGTGTGAGGAAATTACCTGCCAAAGACAATGGAAAATGGTCGCGCTGTCATAGGCTGATTGAGATTAGACCTTAGCACCGTTGGATGCCTAATTAGAGGTCCAGAAGTTAAGCATTCGCATGCGAGACCAAAGGCCCTGGGTTTGAATCCAGTGTGAGAGGTTGTGGATGCTCACTGCTGAGGGACCCATACTGTCCAGTGCATCCAAGTTTCCAATGGATACCAACCTTAGATCGGTTCGTAATTGTAATCAAATCTATTGATTGGCGAGCTAGCGATTTATCACCTCATATTTATTATACAAAGAGGAAATGATATTAATAAAACCATTACAAGGTTAACAATAATCATTTTCTTGTTTACCGTTTGAATAAATTCAATTCACACACAAGAATATCATAAACAATATGATAACCATTGAGCAGAAAAAAACTGATGGATCAAAGGTAAACAATCATGAGTTTAATGAAAGAAGACAGTTTATTCGTAAAATTTAACAAGTTTACTGCATGGTCAACATATCTGCTTCTATATACACACACATAGATATAAATTTGCATTTTCATTAAAAAGTTGAGGAAGTGGTTGGGATGGAATATGAATCATCAACCTAATCTTTTCATACACAATACTGAGTTATAAATCAGGGAAAAAACGATTGATTGTTAACAGTAAAATGAGCGAGAACTAAATAATAACAGAAAAAAACTATGTACATATTGACAGTAGGATGAGTAAGTATTTGGGAGAAATTTTTCTCGGGTTATATAGTTCCTCCTCGAAATAATAACGTGATGAACGAATTATTCTCTTTTTTTTTAATATTCATTTGGTATATAGCAAAACTAATGTAGAGAATTATAAGATTATTTGTAAGTAGATGAAATAGATTAGAAATTAGGTCAAGAGAAAAAAGAGATTAACTCTTTTTTTTCTACATATATAATACATTATTTTTATTTAATGAAGAAATTCTGAAAATGAAAAGCTTATTGGGTGATCTATGTCATTATTTAGATTTTGTAAAAAAATAATACATGGACGTTGAATAAGTTGGTGAGATATAAACCAATGACTGATTTGATTGGTGATTTAGCGCTCTACAATTAAACGTACAGGAAAACGATTTTTGTTGTTAATTTACTCGCCAATGAATGAATAAAACTAAATCCCGCGAGAGGGATCGTGGATGCTCATTTTTGAGGAGTCGAGTCCTACAATAGGATGAAACGGCCGTCCAGTGATTTCAGGTTTCCAATGGTGGTCTAACATCATCCGGTTCATGATCTTAATCAAAAACTTAATAAACTCCACAACCCTATACTGTTAGTTCTTTATATTATCATCCTAATCCAGTAGAACTGAAAATACCAAGTAACTGTTCGCTGTCAGTTAAAGGATGGCGACTTAAAGATATTACAAAAATAATCTCAGATACTGAGAGAACTTGAAGGTTATCACTCATTCAAGATGATAAATTACTATTTCACATAAGAAAATTAATTTTTGCAGTTGAATTTTTCGACTTGGATGATGTAATTGTCAAACTGTCATTGTCTTTCAAGACATCATCACTGCCTACATTACGTTGACTTCTACAAACTGAGTAGCAAATCTTCTGCAGGATTTCACAATCAATAATTTATCATAACCTACAGTCTAGACACTTTGAAAGTAATGTTTAAGCTTGAAGCAAATTTTCACGTTTTAGTAAAACTTCAAGTTAAATTTAAATGAGATAAACTTGGTTGAAAAATTAAATAAATGATGGTCATGTTGTATAAGTGGGTTGAGTTAAAGTTTAGATGTCGACAAAAAAGCTAGTCAAATCACCGTCTACTTTTACAGAATTATTTATAGTCTTGAAATAAGTATAATGAGTTCAAGACATAAATCGAGAATATTTGGTATGAAATTTTATGAAACAGTGAAAAGGTTTATATTTATTAAATCCTATTAGTCATAAGGCTTTTAACTTTTTACATTCGTCCCTTAGTTAAAATTACACAGAACAAAGAAATGAACGTTAGCCAAACTGAAGAATTTTGGCGTTTCCTTCAAACATTATTTGAAGAATACTTTTTTCTTTAGTCAATTGAGAGTAATAATATCGTCTGGGAGGATTATTTTAGACCAATTTTTCTCATAAAATACATGTAATTGGTATTTAATGAAATATTTAAAAAAAATTAAAAGCTAAATTTAATTTTCTGCTAATAATCAACTTACAGGCATCCCATATCGATGAACAACCAATCGCAAAGCTTCATCTACTTCCAAACCAGAAATGTTTAAAGATTTCAGAAGAATCCTATATTCAAAATAAGTACGAAATAAACATTTTAAAGTAAATTTTAGTTGAGATTATTAGTTATAAATAATGATCTTCAGAGTTGAAGATTATGAAGATTCGAAACAAGCAGAATGATTAGCAAAGCCCTACTACTAATCAGGTTATATTTTAAACTGAATCTCAGATTGAAAGAATGACCATAGTGCAATAGATGTTCAGTTGATAACAGGTCAGAAACGTGAGACCAAATATCCGAAACACTCCAAAGTCTAATTTTACTGTAAATTATGGTGTTTTTTATCAGTCAAATCAGTTCAACGGTGTACTTCATTATATCAGTGAGATATATAACCCCACAGCAATTACTCTTTAAGTTAAGTGCACAGGCATGTTACCAAATATAGAAAAGAACTTGAATCACTTCTAAAATAAAGTTATATGCATTGATCAGTTATTGAAGGGTAATCAACATCAATTGTCTAGTCTTTAGTATACGTCTAATTGTAGCTATTTCACAGACTTGAAATTAGGTTTCAGATCTCATCATATTCAGCGTATAACAATGTTTAGTAACGTGGTCAATTGGTCTGTTAGTAACTTGCCTTTTGGATTTATATCATTAATAAGGGATCGACACGATGATAATAGTTGCTATCCACGTATATGAATGTTAAGCGTCAGTTCTACTAAAATTATAGCTACCATCCTTATTGATAAGTGTTAATTAAAGCCACATTTAGACTGATAATTTTCAACTGAGTACCTTTAGTTTACAACTTGTAATAAATGTGTAATTGTTATGCTCTGTTAAAAGCCTAAGCTGTAAGTTTTCGACAAAGTATTGAAGTATGATAAATAACAAATGAATAATACCAGGTTAACACAATATATTAAATACATTTTATGCATATTGTACATCTATGATGTCATTGACACATTTCAACAATGATTAAAGGAAAGCGAATCGGTGGTTAGTTATTTTAAACTAGCCTCTTTGCTGAAATTATTTTCACTCGTTCATCTCAATGAGAATTATTGATAGTATTGAATCTTGTGTAATATATGTATATATATTCTAGGAATACTTATAAGTATGATAAATCATATCGTGATAATATTTGTTTTTTTACTAACTTTTACGGGAAAAAGGGTGATGATCGAAAAAAAACAAGTTAAAGAAGCAAAAGAGAAGAAAGATTGTGAAGGAAAACAATTCGAAAACATATTTATCTATCATATTTCTATTTCTAATATCTTTATGTCTTAAAACCAGTCCAAATGAGAAGCAATCAATTCTGTTTTATTTTGAGAAGAAGAAGCAAAATGATAATCTACTACTAATACTATTATTAATTTTTTTCCCGAATAACTTATAATATTGAATAAGTAGAAAAATATGAAATAATGTAGTTAGTCAGTCGATCGTAATCACTGTAGAACCTGGCACAAATATGTATTGGCTTAAGTTACTATACTACTCATTAAAGCAAGACGATATAATATTAATCGGGTGAATAGCAAAGGAATCGGGATAATATAACAATAATGATAACGAGAAAGATCAAAAGTTAAAAATATGGTTTAACAACAAGAAATGAAATGGTATATATGAAAGAGTATTGGAAATCAACATCTGAAGTAAAATAAAGAGTGAATACATCTGTTTCATTGTGACCGATTCTAACCAATGTTACTATTCAACTCCTCTAACTATTAACGTTGGTTATTGTCCTGACCTTAATCAGGTAGTTTGCATCTATCGACATGGCTAAGACCCACAGTAAATGAAAAACGTCAATTTTTCTAAGATTTTAAGTCGAAAAATACAATGGTATGCAATGTATTATAATTTAAAAGTAAAATACAACAATAAAACTCAGAGTATGTTCTTTTTCTACAGTCATCGTGTAATTTTGTTATCTTCACCGGGACTGTAATCTGTCGTCAACTGTTTTAACAGATTACAAAGCTTTTAATTAAGTCATTGAACTATTGTGAGGTTGAGCGATATCGTGAATTAATTAAAGTTAAAGATGTAGATTACTAGGTACCTGCTCAGTAGCCCAGAGGTTAAGCATTCGCAAGCGTAATCGAATTTCCTGAGTCTGGTTTACTGACACGAACTCGTTGATGCGCACTATTGAGAAGTCATACACCAGGGAAAAGCACCCGTTCACTACTCTATGATTTTTGACGATAGTCCGGCTAAGATCAGTTCGTGATCAAAGCTATAGAAATTCTAAGATCTACACAAATCCTTTGACACTCATAATTAAATTTTGTCAGTATAATCACTTGTTGCAAAACATATAGACATATTCAACTGTCATTTCGTAAATGAAATGAAAAACACGTTCAGAATCCAATAATTAGTCACAGTCTACTTACGTATTGCTAATCATTTCCAAACAAAACAAAAAAACCATTAACAGGATGAAAATGTTTTATGGAATAACAGCCTAAAATTTTTGAAATTTATGCTGTAGCTACACCAAAAAAAAAATACAGGAAGTTGTTATACAGATATGCATATGAGCTCTTAGCATTTTACTGTTGACTAAGCCAATACATACACATACTACATTTTATAAGAAATCAGTGTAGTTAAGTAATCCGACGTGAATTATGAAATTAATTATACACTCTGTTGGATGTATACTTTAAAGAAAAATCAATGTAAAACTAGAAATGAAATAGAGAAAATTAATCACAGAAACTGTAGAACTAAACTAAATAATCACATGTATGCAATAACCAACATCAAAGAATGTTAGTTCATTTTTCACTAGTAAAACATAATAAGCATATATTATGAAACATTTTTATATTTAAATGTTGGTATACATTAGAAAAAGAAAAAACAAACCCAGATTGCTCAGCATGATATTGAACATTTTTAGTCTTTCAAAGTGTATGCTTTAAACAGTTGCTGACAAACTAATAGAGGGTTAATGTGATGTATTATTTTTTTAAGTTAAAAGATAGAACATTAACTAGTATTTAAACAAGTTAGAAATGATGTTAATTAGATTAAAGAAACATAAAGAAAAATAATTATTTTAAATTATGTAACAGATTATACTTGTTATATTATACTGAAGACTAAGTGAATGGTAACTTTCAGGAGTAATTTATGAACTATTATCATATATATATTCTTAATGTATAATTATTACGTTACTAGATAAGCTTTCGGTTGACATATAAACTACTGTTATATGATTTACTGCTCTTAGTTTGTTCCCATTTTGTTATTCAGTCTCCCTTTGTACAAAGTTATTTTTTAGCTTGCACGTGTATAATTAGAATTTTTCACTTCATGATGTGATATAGTTTGTACTCCTTGTATATATGATTGGAATATAAGATTCGTTGGGGTACATTATTGACTTCGGGACTTTAAGGCAGGTCAGAGAGAGAAGCTACAGTATCGTGAACCAGTAAAAACTTATCACTTGACTCAAGCTTACTAGTGCTGGTCGGACGTGTAATTGGTCAACTTTATTTATTTATTAATTAAACATAGACATTGGTACAAGGAGGCACAGAATATTTATGCGCCACATTTCGTCATTCGATTTGTGTGAGAGCTGGGATGCTGCCCGGGTGCCAAAACCGAAGCAGGTGGTTTTCTTAGGGGGGCCACACCTCGAGCCTTTGGCCTAGAAACCACAACAATGGAGCAACGTTAAAAGATTCAGGCCTATGGTAACCGGTGATCAACATTAGTTTCACAAGCCAATTTTCCACTCAGTAGCTTGGAGCTCATGTGCACCATTGGTTTGGAATCACGGTTTTCTAACTCTTTTGGGTGGATCATCTATATCCACCAACCTTTCCGTCCTCTCAACTTCGTAAACAATACCCCGGCGCAGGAGGTCGGTGAGTAGGACTTCCTTGTCAGTGGCTGTATACGCGTGACCATGTGAGAGAATTTCGAGAGGGAGAGCCAACTCGCTCTACCCTCGGCTGTACCAGGGCATTTGGGGGCAAAGATATTAATTCATATCAATCGAGATTTTGATTAGTGGTTTTGTCAAGATAATTATCAGCCGCCATAACATATACTACATTTCACACCGACTAATATATATATATATATATATATATATATATATATGCATAATGAGTGTTGGATTTACTGTACCAGACAGAATATTTGGTGTTTAATCAAAACATTGAAAAGAACAATACACATGTATATAGGGTGTTGATAATTTAATTTTACACCAAATAACATAATAAAATTATTGCATAAAATTCTCTCGTATCAATAAAATTGTAGTTAAGAGAAACATCAGTGTTTGAAATGGTTATGTAGTATAAACCTCTAACAAATTAAATGTTTTTTAGCTAACTCTAAAGTCCCAATCAATCAGTCAGTCAGCCATATAAATAGTATGGGACACGGGACAAATGTACAGTAGTTTAAGTTATCACAGATAATATCAATACAATAGAAGAGAAAATTAACAAAATGCAAAGCATGTGAATGTTGGTAATAAGACGCTTTAAGAGAAAGAATGAATTCAGAAAAAAATATGGAATAATACTAAAACTTATAATTTAGGAAAGAGTAAAGGGTAAAGAGAGGGTGGATCGGAAAAATGATCACTTTATGAGAAATATCTTTTAAGGTCTCCAACCATTGGTTACAGTTAGATTGAAAACTGTAATATGAAAATCTAAATTTCCTGATATTCCATTAACAGAAAACATTGATGTCTTTGTCTTTCAGCCCTTGACGTTCCCTCAATCTATTTGTATGCTTTTAGCTTGTTTAACACATTGTTTTTCATTACTGTAAGGGTGCTTCACAGATGGTTAAATATTATAGTATAATTTACGAACTGATCCTAAATATAAAACTATTTAAAAAGGGGAAACATACGACAGCTACTTTAATCTAGTATGGGACTCAGTAGTGCGCATTCAACGCCAAATTAGTGGCCTAGAGATGAGCAGCACGCTGAAAGATCTTAATGTCTTAGGTTCGATCCCTCGTCGGGTTGTGGATG